AGAACGGAAGAATTTCTTTCAATGAAGTGAACTAATTTTGGGGTAAGCCCATAATTTAGGACTAGATCAAAATTCGTTGGTTATTTGAGCCTCTCAGCACACTAACTGGACTTCTGAGCACATTTGTTGAGAGACTAACGAATAATAAGCATAACAACAGATTTTGGTACACTGAAGGGTTCATGTCTGGGGGAACAAAAACATATTTTAAGGGGGAAAAAAAGAAACAATAAAAAGAACTTGTTCACATTCTTCTTGTTTGTGTAATTCATCCAACTTGCAAGACAAAAATCATACTAACCCTAGTTTATCTAAAGAAGTGTTTAGTTTTTTTTATTGCCGCTACCTTGCACAATTGTTCTTAAAGATCACTGCCCACTATAGCTTTTTAGTGTTGCAAATTAATGGAAGTATAGTTTAATTTCTGTACAAATCTACTCGATAAACATAGTGAACACACAGGCCCCTCAGAGTTGCACAAAAACGGGAATTTCCATTGACCTTAATGGCCTTATAAAAAGCTACAGTGGGCTGTGTTAAAGGCTTCCTTACACGAACTGTGTTTTTCTTTCAAACTTTGATTCTGTGTAAATGTGGTTTAGTGAAGTGCTACCATGTGGATATTAAACTAAATGTGATATACATTTTCAAGTTTGTTGTTTTGGTTTTTAGTTAAGGAACTTTGATTGTACACAAATATCTTCCTAAATCTTAGTCTCCTCTCATGGACCACACAGATTCTCGGCACAGTGCACGAACTCCACAAACAAGTGTATACTATAGACACTGACATAAACAGGGGCGATGAGATGAAAATTGCACAAGGCAGGAAAGCATAGAAAGTCCTCTATGAAGCCTCATGTGCCACTAGGCATTAAGAGAATTGCTATATATATATATATATATATATCTGTGTGTGTGTGTGTGTGTCTGTCTGTCTGTGTCGTCTGCCTGTGTCTGTCTGTGTCTGCCTGTGTCTGCCTGTGTCTGTCTGTGTCTGTCTGTCTGTCTGTGTGTGTGTGCGTGCGTGTGTGTGTGTGTGAGTGTGTGTGTGATATATATATATATATATATAATTTATATATATATATATATATATATATATATATATATATATATATATTATATATATATATATATATATATATATATATATACATATTTATATATATATGATAATTCATACACAAAATTCATCACAACATTTTCTTATTTTCCTATCTTGGTTTCTTCCATTCACACAACAAATTCATTACAACATATCAGTATTTTATCCTATCTTGGTGTCTTTGACTCAGACAATAATTCGCCACAATAACACATCAGTTTTATTTTGTATTTATTTCAATAGCTGGCTAAACATATTGCAGATTTGGAAGCTCAGGTCAACAAACACATCAATGTACACACACAAATCATAATATCTTCATTTAAGTACAGTATATACAAACAACAATAACACATGGTCATGGTTCATCACATATCCCCTTCCCTGATCCACCAAATATCTTTTTTGTGCTCCACCAAATATCTTTTCTTTACTCCACCACATGTCTTTTCTCCGCTCCACCAAATATCTTTTCTTTACTCCACCACATGTCTTTTCTCCGCTCCACCAAATATCTTTTCTTTACTCCACCACATGTCTTTTCTCCGCTCCACCAAATATCTTTTCTTCACTCCACCACATGTCTTTTCTCCGCTCCACCAAATATCTTTTCTTCACTCCACCACGTCTTTTCTCCACTTCACCAAATATCTTTTCTCCACTTCACCAAATATCTTTTCTCCACTTCACCAAATGTCTTTTCGCCACTCCACCAAATGTCTTTTCTCAACTCCACCAAATATCTTTTCTCAACTCCACTAAATATCTTTTCTCAACTTCACCAAATATCTGTTCTCCACTCCACCAAATATCTGTTCTCCACTCCACCAAATATCTGTTCTCCACTCCACCAAATATCACCTTTGACCTCCATAAACATCCTCTCCCTTGCCCAACAATCTGACCTTTTCCTGCTCAACTGTATATCATTTTCCCTGCTCCACTAAACATCTATCTTCCCTGCTCCACTAAATATCCTCTTCCCCTCCTCCTAAGAATATCCTCTTTCCCTCCTCCACGAAATTTCTTCCACCTTGTTCCACAAAACATCTTCTCTGGTCCATCAAATATCTCAGCCAGCACTTCACTAGTTATCCCTTTCTCTGCTTCAGATCTGTAAGCAAAGACAGCACCTAGCAGAAACAGCCATCACATTGTGAAATGTTAGGTATACATTTATTCAAAGCCACAAGAAAATGAGTTGTATGATCTAGGGCTGTACCGAATAGGGATTTTCACTATTCGGCAGAATACGAATAGTGGGACCAACTATTCGGCCGAATACGAATAGTGTATCATCATCATCATCAGGTGCCTTGCCGACTGTGGGCCTAGCCACAATCTGCGACCTATTGTAGCATGTATTAGTTCGTGTGCTGACACACCTCCATGCAATGCAACAAGACTGTCAAGCATCTTCTCTCATTGTCTTCCTCTATCCCTCCTTCCACGGATCTTTCAAGTGGTCACCACAAGTTCCATTTTCCCTCTTCTCATAACATGGCCGAAAAATAATGACTGTCTCATTCTGAGGTCTGCGATTAGTTGTCTTCGGGCTACGGCCTCTTTCAAAACCTCTTGGTTGCTTTTTTTGGCTATCCAAGGTATTTTAAGCATTGTTTTGTAAAACCACATCTTTGAGGCCTCAAGAAATTGTTTGACCCGTCTACCCATTGTCCAGGACTCACAGCCATATGTTAAAACTGGATGCTGTACCACGCAACTGGGTTGCAGTTGTCCCCGCTACGACAGACTCAGGCAACAGAAACAACTGACTAATTGTGTAAATGAGAGAGTTATTTCAGTCTATCGCAGTGTATGTAGAAACGGGTGTAAGATAACCACTATTCGTATTCGGGCCGACCGCGAGTAAATACCGAATAGTTTTAAGGTCCACTATTCGGCCCCGAAGCGAATACAAAGCCAATATTCGGTACAGCCCTAGTAAGAACAGCTCCCTTCCCCTCTAGTCTGGTAAGCATAAGAACAAACCACTACGATCATTTCCTTGATCCCAAAAATATACAACTGTTCATCATGCATGCACAGAGTGATTTGAAAAAGAAAAAAAAAAGGAATGATTGCAGACAAGCTATCAAGAAATTAATCCTCTGATTAAGAAAGTTAAAAAAAGGTGGGGATGCAGAAAAAATACACACAGGAACAATAAGACACTTTAAGAGCAGACTTTATTGACACAAAAACTAGTAAATTATGAAAATAACTATAAAAACCATGAAGAAGATGGACTGCAGAAATATAATAGACACTGAAAAGTATTTTATATGACACGAAGAGAAGGGCCAGTTCTAGAGAATTTCATTTCTGTCCTGATGCCACGTGGCAATCCAGGAGAGGGGAACAAAATGAAGAAGAACTATAAAATATAGGGAGAGGAAATAATGATAAAGCATATATGAAATCCATCTCTCTGCCTCTCTCTTGCTCACACACATCAATCCATCCATGCGCAGACTTGCTACTGCACCATGTGCCTTATCCACAGCCAGCTACATTCCTGTTCCTTACATGTTAAATTTTTATCATCACAAAATATAAATTAAACATGCACAAATTAACAACTGTCAGTCATCATACTATTACTGGACATAATAAATAAATGTTGATTCTTTCCACAGTAAATTATACACCACCTCAAGTGGCATGAAGTTTTAGCTGTATATATCAGAGCTGTAGTGACTTCATGGACTTATAACTAGTCCATCCATTTGTGGGATGCAATTTTTAGTTATTTTGAAGCCCCACCCTGGCTCTGGTCAGGGGCCGCAATATAGCCCGGCCATAAATATGGTCTCATGGCTGATCCTCATGCACATGGTGGCACTTTGTGTCATCTGATGTTTGTCGCTTGTGTGATGTCCTAGTGGGATAAAATGTACTACTACTACTACTACTATACTTCATGTACTTCCGATCTCATGTCTCTGTAATTGAAGTACCTTGACCACATTAAACATCACAGCAGTTTAAAATCAACAGTAACGGAACACATGGTCCCTGGAAGATAAACCAAGTGTCTACCCCACCCATCTACACAAGCACCCACTCATACATACAACATACATACAACCACCCACCCACTCATACATACAACATACATACAACCATCCACCCACTCATACATACAACCACCCACCCACTCATATAAACAACCACCCACCCACTCATACATACAACCACCCACCCACTCACTCATACAAACAACATACATACAACCACCCACCCACTCATACAAACAACCACCCACCTACTCATACAAACAACCACCCACCCACTCATACAAACAACCACCCACCCACTCATACATACAACCAACCACCCACTCATACATACAACCACCCACCCACTCATACAAACAACCACCCACCCACTCATACAAACAACCACCCACTCACTCATACAAACAACCACCCACCCACTCATACATACAACCACCCACCCACTCATACAAACAACCACCCACCCACTCATACAAACAACCACCCACCCACTCACTCATAACAATCACCCACTCATACAAACAACCACCCACTCATACAAACAACCACCCACCCACACTTTTTCTTCTCTGTTCACCAGCTGTGAGCTCCAGCAGAAAGTCCTGGTTGTTTGCCCATTTGGACTGTGGTTTTGTGTGTATTTCTGTTTCTACATGCTTATTTGTGTTCTTTTTTGTTCACTTGAAATAGATTATTTATATCTGCAATGCTGTCTCTAGCATGAACTTTACTGTCTGTTGTAATTCAAGCTTATCTGTGTGAAACTGGTTGTTCCTTGCCGCTCAGGCAGATGCACTCTGACTTCAAAGGTAACCCCCACTTAGTCAACTCCTACTACATGCGTGTTGGGGAAGGCGTGGGTCTATTCTTTTTTTCCCCAGAACCCACAAGGAACACACACACCCATTCCCACAAAGCTGCACACAGGACCCCTCCTTGCTCATGAAACTACTGGAGGCAAGGCATCTGGTGAAGGGTAGGGCGAAAGAAGGTCTGTCTTGTGAAAAGAGCAATCTTCTAAAAAAAATAACAACATGATGATGTGGATTTTGCATGTAAATGATGCCGGTAGCACAAAAACAAATTACAACAATTTCACATATATTGGATTGACTAGAAATATTCCCCCCCCCCCCCCCCCCACATGTAGTTTTCAGGGCTCAGTCTAGGGGAGAAAAGAATAGATCAACTGCCTCCTAACAAGCCTAAGGTAAAAGGTAACCAATTAGGAAAGTTTCCTTTGAAATCAAGACAGCAAATGCCTGAGAGACGAGGAACCAACAGTCTGCATACGAATAAGCCAGATAGGTTAAATGGAGGCACCAGCAAAAATCTAGTTCTGAAACAAGATCAAAGTCCAGAAGTGGATGAACAACCAGAACTTCCCAGAGTTTACAGTTGGGGGACACTAAGAAGAAGAGAATGTGAACACATTGTTAAATCCGGCACATCACATCATTTGCATCTCTATCATCATTATCATCACCATAGCGGTACTTATCTCTTTTCCAAGCCCATCTAGGGCAACACTGCCCATTGACACACTATGCAAGTTTTCGTTGATACTTTATATCAGCCCAGTCGACTTCTGTCAAGGTTAAAGGGGTGTCGCCATTGCTGTATCCGATGCATGTCAATTTATGACACACATTTATGACCTCAGAACACCAAGAAATCACTTTCCTGTCCTGCGAGCTCTATACCAGAGCAAGTGATTGCCAGGACATCACACATGCGATAAACACCCGGTGACACAAAGTGTCACCATGCAAATGAGGATTGCCCTGGAGAGGTCCCAAAAACCCTTCCAGCCACTAGGCCATATCTATGCCGCGGCTATATTCTGAGCTCCCACGGCAGAAGCCATGGTGGGGCTTCAAATACCAAAAAATTGCATCCTACAAGGGGAGGACTTGCCTCAACTGATTTCTAAAAAGCCATGAAACTTGACATCTGCAGCACAGTTAACGAGTAGTTTCCTAGTAATTAAATACTGCATTTAGTCTAACACAGATTACATAAATTAATGTTAAATAATACGTTAATTAGTAACTATGCATGATACCATGAGCTATAACAACAAGAAAATACAAAGCAATAATATCGAATATCGAAGAGGAATTGTTGACTGGATCATTTGTCTGGGCATCAGGATCTGTCGAATGTCTAACATCATTGAGAGAATCCAGTTGTGTCCTCACGTGAGCACACTGGGAGATGTTGACCTCTGATGACAAGAACACTGGGGTCACACAGATGAAGTACTCAGCTCCCGGTCGCAACCCCGCGACTATGACCTGTGAGATATAAGGTCGCAGGGTGGATTCATAATGCGGGACCTCACAAGCCACCTGATTAACACAATTAACTGACAGAGTCCAGTACAGTTGTGTCCCTTCTTTGTAAGGCCATGTGATGAGGACGGACGTTGGTGTGGAACTAATCATTGTACTGTTCGATTCTATAAATATCCTATCATTAACATCTTCATATGAAAACCCCACAAGTTTCTGCAAAGGGTTGCAGACGATGAGTAATCTTCGAAGAGCAGCGGGACCAGAAATCGTCTCAGAACTTAACACAATAAATAAATTCATAGATAAATTTAACTCTTGTAGTTCCTCCAAGTCTTTGAACACACCAGAATTAATATCAGAAAAATTCCGTTAGCTGCCAGATTGAGCGTCCTTAACCTACGCATGCCACGAAACATACCAGGATGTAAGTATGATAACTGATTGAACTGCAGGTCAACGTTGATAATGTTGTCCCTTATACTATCAAACGCGCCTGTGAAAATGTTTTGAATTTTATTATGCCTTAAATTTAAATGTAATATTCTTCTTGCATCTTTGAAAATATCTTTGTTGACTTCAGATATATTGTTTTTCTGAAGATTTACAGATTCTAAATGCAAGCTGTTGAACGCGTGACCTCCAATCCGACGAATTCGATTTCCACTTAAATCAATATGTTTGATGTTGGCGTTGTGCGGAAACACATGAGATGGGACATACTCTATATTATTGTCTGCTATTGACACGAAATTAAGAGAAAGATAAAAATCATTCCCGTGCATAAATACAAGATCAGAAATATTGTTCTTATCCAGTATTAGATTCCTGTAAATTGGTCAATCCACTGAATGCATCAGAAGAAAATTGTGACAAATTATTATTCATAAGTGATAAGTGGATAACAGATCTTAATCCACTGAACACAGACCCAGCAATTGATGTTAACGAATTATGGCTCAAATTCAGTAATCGTAAATTTGTTAATCCCGAAAACTGATTTGGTTGCAAGGCTGTCATGTGGTTTTTTTGAAGCTGTAGATTTTGCAGAGATGCCAGGTTCCTAAATAGTCCCTCTGGTAGACTTTTAATTAAATTGTTCTCCATATTTAAATCTTTAAGTTGAGACAACTCACTGAAGCATCTGGAATTAACAACATCTAGTCCATTATCATTTAGAGTCAGCTCCCTTAGTTTGGGAAGTCCCAGAAAAGCATTGTTGGAAAGTTCTGTGATGCTATTGGCTGATAAATATAGATATTCTAAATTTGGAAGTGAAGTGAAGGTGTTTTCCTGTATTCGAGTGATGTGATTGGAGCTGAGGTCTAGTAAAACTGCTGATGAGGAAACTCCTGAAATGATCTCAGCTAGCTGGAGGTCGGTGATTTCCATATCTTGACAATACACGTAGTACTGTGATGAACATTGACAAGCAGATGGACAAAGTGGTCTATGCATAGATGCGACTGCGGCGGATGTTATCAGTAGCATCAATGGGACTGCAAGATTCATTTTCCATCATCCCTGAAAACAATAAAACACAGAATTAGCAAATTATCCATTTAATGGCACTAAAACGACAACTGATAAATTGCATGTTTATACCAACCCTCTGCTACCAATGCCAAACCTGGTCCCTAACAAGAGCACAGGAGAAAAAGATCACGACGTGCGAAATGAGATGCTTAGGTAAGGCTGCCAATGTCACAAGGAGAGACAGAGTTCGAAACGAGAACATTAGAGCAATTGTAGGAACCACACCATGCCTGCAATACATAAAGAAGCAACAAATAGAGTGGTTTGGCCATTTTTGGCCACTTGATGCGAATGCAAAACCGACCAAACTGCCTCTACGAGCATACAACGAACAGCACTACTGCCCTAGAGCAAGAGGCAGACCGAGAGTACGATGGATAGACAATATATCAGAGATCCTGAGGCAACACGGACTAACAACAACACATGCAACACACCTGGCCCAGGATAGAAAACTGCGTCTCCCCACTACGCTGTGAGGCAATTGTGGACAAGACAAGACAAGATCCATTTAATAAAACAGTTAATTAAGTAAAAAAAATATTTATGGATGTACGAATGTTTGTGTATGTTGTAGTACACGGGTGTGTACTGTGTTGTATGTGTTATACTTATGCTGTTGACAAAATAAGCAATTTATTAGACTACACTTGGAGGTGACAAAGCAGAAAACAAAATTTAGGATCATCATCACCATCAACTATCCTGTCAACATGCATAGGGGTCATGTACAATCTTCCAGATGCAAGGATCATGTCAGTGTTCTTTCCCAACCCCCCAGCCTCCCCCCCCCCCCCCCATGCTACCAAACCATTCAGCTTATTTATCTCTGTGAATTATTATTCCTCCTGCTCGTTTCAAGATTAGTCTTGCCAGTTGTAATCGATATTCTTCAAAACAAGGCCAAATTAAAACTTGACTGCCTCAGTCTAATTTCTCTGATTGGTTTATGGTTTTCATCTGTCTCTGGTTTTCACTTGCCACTGGTTTTCACCTGTCTCTGGTTTTCACTTGCCACTGGTTTTCACCTGCCTCTGGTTTTCACGTGTAACTGGTTTTCACTTGCCACTTTTTTCACTTGCCACTCGTTTTTATCTGTCTCTTGTTTTCAATTGTCACTGGTTTTCACCTGTCTCTGGTTCTCACTTTTTTTTTTTTCGATAACTCCATGACATTCTTTGCAAATGTGGGCTATTATTTTTCTTCTTAGCGTTCACTGGCAGTAAACTTCGGCGGAAAAGCTCTGGTTGTTCGTCCACACTCTTAGACTGTTGTTACATTATAGAACTTGAGTAGTGGTAGTACATTTTACCCCACTAGGACATCAGACAAGCGATTAAATACCCGATGACACAAAGTGCCACTATGTGGATGAGGATCAACCCTGGAGAGGTCCGGGAAACCACGTTCAGCCAATCAATCAGTCAATCAATCAGGTGCCGTCTCCACAATGAAGGTTGGCTGCAATGGATCTCCAACAAGCCCTGTCTCTTGTCCTTGATGTACACTCACTCATACTGCTGTTCATCCATCTCTTGATGTATCCTCCCACTATGTAACTGCTGGTCTCCTCTGCTCTCTACACTTGAACCTTTACCTCTAGGATGATCTTAACAATACTGTTATATCTTTTAATGTGGCCAAAATATTTTGACTTGTCTCTTTTTTTATTTCACCTAGCAACTCTCTTTTCATTCCCAATTTCCCCAGTACCTCTGTATTTGATAGGTTTTTTTCCCCATGAAATACGACCTAATCTTCTGTGTACCCACATCTCCAAAGAATTGATACGATTTTTCAGTTGTTTGTTCAGCCAATAGAGCATATTTAAAGCCGGGCTATAATGCGGCCCCTGGCATGAGCCAGGGTGGGGGCTTCAAATAAAGAAAAATTGCACCCCACATGGGGATGACTGGTGGTAGCAAATCTATAGAACTTCTACAGATCTGGCTTATTTGTATGCAGCCTGCTGGTTCCTTGCCTCTCAGACATATGCATTTCAACTTCGAAGGAAAACCATAATTAGTCGCCTGTTACGACATGCTTACAGGGGGCGGAGGAGCAGGAAGGGGCAGTGGGTCTATCCCCATACCCTTCCCACAGTGCCCCCCCCCCCCGAACCCACACATGAACGGGGGAATTCAAAACAACAATGTCTATACAGGGAAACAAAACAATCCATTTTTATTTTAAGAGAATTATAAAAATTGTCTCCCTTAAACACAAAGCCACTTTCTGGTATTGCATAGGATGGTAAAGTAAAGATCCATTTTCACGCCTTAGGCGCATCGGGTATATGGGAAGAGCGTCCCATATTTTTTACAGACCAATCGGCACTGAATGGGTAATGTGGTCAGCATTACGCCAGCCGTCTTTGCTTCCCCAGGACAGCCATCATGGTACCCATTTAAGGCTAGGTCGACTTGCGACACCCCATATCATGATAAAAATCCACGCAGCCAGCAGTGGGTTTCGATCGCGGTACGTTGGATTACGAAGTTGGACTCGCAATGCCTAAGAGATGGACGCCGCTGTATAGGATGGTAAAGGGCAGAAACAATCGTCGACGAGGGATCGGTGGACCCCTGCTGTACATGCTCCCCTGTGGTGTTCTGCTTATTATTATTATATTATTGTGTATGATGTATGGATGAAAGTATACACATTTTAATGACAGGTAGAGAGAACAGACAGAGACATAGATGTGTGGAAGTATAAATAAAAAGAATGGATGAAGGATAGCTAAGTCAGTGTGTAACAGTAGCTCCTATAACGGTACCGTTATGTCAATGTAAGCATTATAGTTATATTTAGGGCGTCTCTCTCTCTCTCTCTCTCTCTCTCTCTCTCTCTCTCTCTCTCTCTCTCTCTCTCTCTCTGAGCAACCTACATAAGAAATTTGACAGAAATGTCAAAGGTCACCAGTAGAAGTATTCTGTGAACTAATCGGGCCACGGGGACGCAACATTAATATTTCCTAATCGCTGTTTCAAACTCCGTATCAGAATATAAACACCAGCGTTTCCGTACAGCTAGGCTGAGTCTATCGTGTCTGATAGATTACGGAACAATAGCGTTGTCTCGTAGCTTCAGTGTAGCTAGGCAGCGGTCTTTGCCTGGGTACCGCTAAATAAATGTGTTAAATAAACAAACCAAACGATTAACAATAGGGTTTTCTTTATAGTGAATTATTAGCGAGCTTATTTAGATATATTCCAGCCGGGGAACAAACAATAGACAACAGGGGGAATAACTGTACTTAACAGGAAGTTATACCATATCCGAAATATGCTATATTTTTGTTTTCGAATATCATCACCGTGTGGAAGATCGAATGTAAAAAGGCTCAACATATTCCACATTCAGATGGCCTCCAGGCTTTGCGGTTCTTTCTAGATCAGAGAGTCAGTTCTGCCATAGCAACTGAACCCTTGATTCGTCTGGCTGAGTTAGTGCTCAGTCTAAACTCGTTCGAGTTAATGGCCAGTATTTCAACCAGATCAGCGGCGTCGCTACGGGGACCAAGATGAGACCCAGCGATGCCTGCCTCTTAATGGGGCACCTCGAGCACCAGATACGTCATGCATATACCGGTAGGCTGCCCGAGCTCTACAGGAGGTATGTCAATGATTGCATCAGTTTCACCGATATGCCCCTATCTGAACTGCAGAACTTCATTAATTTTTTACTCAAACTTTCATCCCAGCATCCGATGCACTTCTAGCATCTCACCTTCGTCGGTGCATTTTCTGGATCTCACTGTCACCGTGAACTCTATAGGCCTCAGCACCTCGGTTTACTATAAGCCTACTGATTCCCACGCTTTTCTTCTCTACACGTCCTCCCATCCCTCTTCTTGCAAGGACTCAATTCCGTTCTCCCTTCTACGCCTCCGCAGACTATGCCAGGAGAACGACGACTTTCACAACAAGGACCTGGAAATGTTGGACTTCTGCCGGCTTCGAGGGTATTCTGAACATGTCTTATATGCCGCCTTTCACCACGCACGGTCTTTCCATCGTGCCGAGGCTCTCGTTTCCAAGCCTAAACGTCACCACAACAGACTTATCCTCACTTATACCACCCTCACAACTTTCGCGACACAAATATTTTCCTCAGGCATCTCCCCATCCTTAAAGCCGACCCTGCCACCAGCAGGATTTTCTCTGAACCTCCCCTAGTGGCCTGCAGGCATGACCGTAACCTCAAGGACATTCTAATCAAGAGTCGGTTACGTCCCGCGTCTAATTCCCACTTTTGTACGGCCTCTTGTCATAGACCTCTATGCAGGACCTGTCCATATGTGGTTCAAGTGACTAGTCTAGAATTTCCGAACGCCACCTTCCAAATACGAGAAGCATTCTATTGTACCAGCCGTAAAGTAAAGTAAGTAAGTAAAGATCCCTTATTACGCATAAGGCGCATCTGGTATATGGACAGAGCGTCCCATATTTTTATAGACCAATCGGCACTGGATGGGTAATGTGGTCAGCATTACGCCGGCCGTCTTTACTTCCCCAGGACAGCCATCCTGGTACCCATTTGAGGCTGGGTCGACCTGCGACGTCCCATACCACGATAAGAATCCACGCAGCCCGCAGTGGGTTTCGATTGCGGTACGTTGGATTACGAGTCGGACTCGCAACGCCTTAGCCACGGACGCCGCATTGTACCAGCCGTAAAGTCATTTATGCCATCAAGTGCAAGAGATGTGGCATGAAATACATTGATGAAACAGGTCTACAGCTCGCTGACAGGTTCAGACAACATATTTTGGATATCTAAAAGGGTGCCCTGGAACCAGTACCGTTGCACTTCAATTTCCAGGATCACCGAGGTGTTCTCGACATGGAGGTGACAGCCATTAAATTTAGCCACTCCAGCGACAGAGGATGGAAGTCTCTTGAGAATCACTTTATTTATACTTTGGGGACTTTAACACCCTCCGGACTGAATTGCCAACAGTTTCATTTAAA